TGGCTCACACCTGTAGTCCCAGCACTTTGGGAGGCCAAGGCAGGCGGCTCACGAGGTCAAGAGATCGAGACCATCCTGGCCAACATGGTGAAACCCTGTCTCTAGTAAAAATACAAAAAAAAAAAAATTAGCTGGGTGTGGTGGTGCACGCCTGTAATCCCAGCTACTCAGGAGGCTGAGGCAGGAGAATTGCTTGAACCTGGGAGGTGGAGGTCGCAGTGAGCCAAGGTTGCGCCACTGCACTCCAGCCCGGTGACAGAGTGAGACTCTGTCTCAAAAAAAAAAAAAAAAAAAAAAGAATTGAGTAATTATTAATGTGCCCTTCTAATACTACTCTGAATTAAAAAAACATTTCTAGGTGCCAGTTACATGCTTTTAGTTCTGAAATGCATAAAGTCATTCGAGACACCAGTACTTTATAGCTACAAATCCATCCAGTAAAACCCATCCTAACAAGCCACTGATGAGCAGGGCAACACTGAATTCAACTTAGGACTCACATGGGAAGTAGATTTACAGTTACCTATTTCCAAATAATTACTAGCGGGGCACTTCCAGGAACCATATCAGTCTATTTTAACCTTGTAACACCAACAATTGGTTCATGTATAGTAGGTCAAGAAAGATTTGCTAAATGAATTTTAACACTTTTTTTTTTTTTTTTTTGAGATGGAGTCTCGCTCTGTCGCCCAGGCTGCAGTACAGTGGGACAATCTGAGCTCACTGCAACTTCTGCCTTTCGGGTTCAAGCAATTCTCCTAACTCAGCCTCCAGAGTAGCTAGGATTACGGGCGCACACCACCACGCCTAGCTCATTTTTGTATTTTTAGTAGAAACAGGGTTTCAATATCTTGGCCAGGCTGGTCTTGAACTGCTGACCTCACGATCCACCCACCTCAGCCTCCACAAAGTGCTGGGATTACAGGCGTAAGCCACAGCACCCAGCCTTAATTTTTGTTATTTTTAGTAGAGACAGGGTTTCATCATGTTGGTCAGGCTGGTCTCAAACTCCTGATCTCAGGTGATCCACCTGCCTGTGCCTCCTAACATGCTGGGATTACAGGCATGAGCCACCATGTCCAGTACTGAACCTTAACATTCTGAAACACACTAGCATACATTTTCTTTCACCTTACAAAATTGTGTTCATGTGAGAAGAGGTACGGGTAACTCAAGTCTATTAGCTGTACAAATACAAATACCAGTCTGCCCAAGCCATAACTACCTACACCACACAGGATTTGGTGAACTATAGTGCAAGGTATGCCACCTATCTACACTGCATCTTTATGGCACGTAAACTTTCAAAAGAAAGACAAAAATAGCACTGATTATTGAGAGAATCAACTGGTGTGCACTGTACACCTATAGCACATCTCAATTTGGAGTGGTCATTTATACTGCTCAACAGCCACATGTCATGAATGGTTACTGCTTGTCACAGTGCTTAGCACACAGGAATCCACAAACCAAAAAGTGGCTGCACTCACTATGCTTTTTGTGGAGTAACATAAAAACCATACAAAGTTGTCCAAAGTTTTCCCTTATATAGATATCTCATAGTTGAGTCAATATTTACTGAATAACCAACTGAATAAAAAGCTTTCATACCTTATTTAATGAATGAACCAAAATGTTTTTTGCTCCAATATCCCTTAAATCTCTTTCAGCATCATATTTTAAATCATTTGAAACACTAAACCTGCCAAAATAAAAAAAGCACAAATTAAATACAAATTATGTAATTATGGAATTCAGGAATAAAGAAAGCCTGGTCGTGACACTTAAAACAAAAAATAAAAAAAACCCTACTCATTAAAACTCATCTCAAAAATCAGGCACGGTGGCTCATGCCTGTAATCCCAGCACTTAGGGAGGCTGAGGCGGGTGGATCACAAGGTCAGGAGATTGAGACCAACCTGGCTAACATGGTGAAACCCCGTCTCCACTAAAAATACAAAAAATTAGCTGGGCATGGTGGTGCGCACCTGTAGTCCCAGCTACTCAGGAGGCTGAGGCAGGAGAATCACTTGAGCCCCAGAGGTAGAGGCTGCAGTGAGCCATGAATGTGCCATTGCACTCCAGCCTGGGTGACAGAGATCTGTCTTGATCAGGAGGGGGAATCTCATCCCCATATGCTAAAGTAATTATTCACTAATAAAAGCTTCTGAGGCCAATTTTTAAACACTTACCACAATGCTCGTTTTCTACTCAACAAATAATTTTCATAGATGATTCCTGCTATCGTTCTTCCTTTTCCTACACCAGCACCATCACCTATTAAGAAGCCAGCACGATCTCCATTAGGTAGAAAAGTTTCATGTTGCTGAAAAACAAAAGGCTGGTAATTAATATAATCCTTTAGGTATTTTAGTGATCAATCTTTCATACACTATTTTACAAATATATTGATGTTATCTGTTTTTTGTTTTGTATACATATTTTGTAACATTATTTATTTTTACTTAAAGTTCATGCAGTTTGGCTTTTAATGTGGCTACTTTCTACATATTTACTATATATATATATATATATGCACACACATATATATATATATATATATATTTTTTTTTTTTTTTCTTTTTTGAGACGGAGTTTCGCTCGTTACCCAGGCTGGAGTGCAATGGCGGGATCTCGGCTCACCGCAACCTCCGCCTCCTGGGTTCAGGCAATTCTCCTGCCTCAGCCTCCTGAGTAGCTGGGATTACAGGCATGCGTCACCATGCCCAGCTGATTTTTTGTAGTTTTAGTAGACACGGGGTTTCACCATGTTGACCAGGATGGTCTTGATCTTTTGACCTCGTGATCCACCCGCCTCGGCCTCCCAAAGTGCTGGGATTACAGGCTTGAGCCACCGCGCCCGGCCATATTTACTATATATTATCTCCTGCTACTCTCCCAAGTACCAGGTAACTAAAGTTAACAAATTGGTGAGGAGCCCACCATACATACCCCTATCAACACTTGCAGAATCAAATAGGAAGTTTTTTTGTTTTCTTTTTGACAGAGTCTCACTCTGTCGTCCAGGCTGGAGTGCAGTAGCACTATCTCGGTTCACTGCAACCTCCACCTCCTGCGTTCAAGTGATTCTCCTGCCTCAGCTTCCTGAGTAGCTGGGACTACAGGCGTGCACCACCACGCCCAGCTAATTTTTCTATTTTTAGTAGAGACAGAGTTTCATCATGTTGGCCAGGCTGATCTCAAACTCCTGACCTCAGGGTGATCCATCTGCCTCAGCTTCCCAAAGTGCTGGGATTACAGGCATGAGCCACCATGCCAAGCCAAATTAAACGTTTTACATCACACAAAATATAAAGTTAAATGCCTATTTTGGTTATTACTTATTTTACAGATACAGAGTATGATTGAAATCATTTCAAGACCACAGTTTAACTCTATCTCACATCGTTTTAAAAGCCCACACAACACCTCACAGTCCAATAATATGACAGTTTATACAATCATCCCCCAACAATGTGGATGCTCAAATCTTTTCCAGCTGGGGGGAACAAAAGGTATAACAAATATCCTTCTGCATATGTTCCAACAGTTCTAGGGAGCACACTCCTAGGAATGGACATATACACACACACATATACATATATCTAACTTTTTTTTTTTTGAGAAAGAGTCTCATTCCTATCACCCAGGCTGGAGTGACAAGATCATGGCTCATTACAGCCTCAACTTCCCAAGCTGAAGTGATTCTCCTACCTCAGCCTCTCAAGAAACTGGAACTATAGGCCCACACCACTACACCCAGCTAATTTTTTGTATTTTTAGTAGAGATGGTGTTTCACCATGTTACCATCTTAAATTCCTGGCCTCAAGCAATCTGCCCATCTCAGCCTCTCCAAGTGCTGGGATTGCAGATATGAGCCACCGTGCCCAGCCAATGTACACATTTTTAATTTTAATAGATAGTCCCAGTAAATTCCAAGAAAGTTATTACATTTGTCATTTCCACTAGAAATACACTATCTGTGTCTCTGCTACACTTCTAAATTTAGTTTTCCAAGATGTAAAACGTTCATAAAAATCACATTTACAAGCTTTTCATGCAAGGAAAAATTACCTTTAGATTGAAACAACTGTTATCTAGAATAGGATTAAATAATAATTACATTAATTATGAAATATTATTGCTTACCTGGGCTGCATATGTAATTGCCTCAAGCTGTAATGCTGATAACCAGCCATTATCAATGGTTTCCTCAGAAATCGATGTTTTGTACCAAACATCAGGAGGAGTAACACTGGATAAAGAGCTAGTTTCCACTACAGCATCTGGGTGACGTAGGCCAATTTTTACTAAATAAAAATTTAAAAATAATTATTGCAAGTAATAACATTGCTAGTTTCATTACCGGCTACTGCAATATTTTTCCTATGACAAAACTAGAAAGTATTCACTCTGGGCTTCTATAAAAAGTCACTGATGATAAATTACTATCCATATTTGACTAAAATGATTTATAAACTACATATGGTTAAAAGAGACTTGGGCCAGACAGGTGGCTCATGCTGGTAATCCCAGCACTCTGGGAGGCCGAGGTGGAGGGACCACTTGAGGTCAGGCGTTCGAGACCAACCTGGCCAACACAGCAAAACCCTGTCTCTATTAAAAATACAAAAATTAGTTGGGCATGTTGGTACATGCCTATAATTCCAGCTTACTCAGGAGGCTGAGGCATGAGAATCGCCTGAACCCAGGAGGCAAGAGGTTGCAGTGAGCCGAGATTGCGCCACTGCACTCCAGCCTAGGAGACAGAGCAAGACTCCGCCTCAAGAAAAAAATAAAACAACCAAGTCTCCCAAATATACAACATGAATATACTAAAGTAATGATCTGGAAGCTTTTTCTGTAAAGGATAAGAGAATGATTTTGCCTTTTTAGGCCATTCTGTCTCGTATAACTACTTAACATTGCTGTTACAGTGTCAATGCAGCCACAGAATAAATAAATCAATTAATATGTCTACTTTCCAATAAAACTATTTACTATAAAAGAGGGTGTGGTCCAGATTCAGTTTGCTGTCCTCTGGCTTAAAGCACCATAAACTCTTTTTTTTTTTTTTTTTTTTTTTTTTGAGAGGGAATCTTGCTCTGTCACCAGGCTGGAGTACAGTTGCGCTATCTCAGCTCACTGTAACCTCTGCCTGCCAGGTTCAAGCAATTCTCCTGCCGCAGCCTCCCTAGTAGCTGGGACTACATGCATAAGCCACCACGCCCAGCTAGTTTTTGTATTTTTAGTAGAGATGGGATTTCACCATGTTAGCCAGGATGGTCTCGATCTCTTGACCTTGTGATCCACCCACCTCAGCCTCCCAGAGTGCTGGGATTACAGGCATGAGCAACCATGTCCAGCCCCAACTCTTTCAATCTGTTTGCAAAATGATTATTAGTTATGGGAGAAAGAAAACAGAAGTTCAGCTAGGCCCCCTAAAACTCATTATACATGACCAGAAAAGAATGATGGAATCTTGGAGTCTATCAGTAGTTGATAAAAAGAGAATTACAATTCAAGTCAAATAGTATTATTAGTGGCTTTCTTTTTTTTTTTGAGATGGAGTCTCAATCTGCAGCCCAGGCTAGCATGCAGTGGCATGATCTCGGCTCACTGCAACCTCTGCCTCCTGGATTCAAGGGATTCTCCTGCCTCAGCCTCCCGAGTAGCTGGGATTACAGGCATGTGCTACCACGCCCGGCTAATTTTTTTTGTATTTTTAGTAGAGACATGGTTTCACAGGTTGCCAGGTTGGTCTCGAACTCCCGACCTCGTGATCCACCACACCTGGCCTATTACTGGCTTTTTACAGAAACCAGTACTACGTGAAAGACAAATTCTAGACACAGATTTGTTTCCTATAATAAAAAAGTGAAAATATTATGCAAATACTAAAAACCTAATTTTCGACTTCATATAGTGGCTGCAAAAAACAAAAATCATGGTTATACAAAAGGGAGAAACAAAGTTAATTAAAAACTATAGAATTGAAATAGCACAAATCATTTTTATAATTTCAATGTTTTTACAATTTTAGACAAGCTATATATAATATAAATATGTATCATAGCTTTATACATCTCTACAATTAGCTTTGATATTTATAATCACTACTCCTATGAACAAAATTAACTTAAAATAAAATCCAAGGTTCTTTAGTTTGAATTTTAAAAGACTTTGACCAAAAACAAGGTTCTAATTTACATGGAAAAAAACAATAAAACAAAGCAACACAAAAAGAACCAAACAAAAAATAAAAAATAAAACACAAAAATAAAAAATAAAAAAAAAACTTTGATGTAAGTATTTGACAAATCCCAAAGACTTACATTTTATTGGCATGTACTCTGCATAGGTTTCTGCATGACCCATTTCTTCTTCGTCTTCTTCCTCTGGTTCGTCATCTTCTTTTATAACAGGGACCTTCTGCAACTTAGAAAGACCACAAGAGCACCATCAATCCCAAATCCAGGGACAAAACACCCAGCCAACACACAGGAAAACTCTCCTGTAGGAACGCCTACCATCTTCCATTATGGAAATACAATGTGCCACCCCAATAATCCCTAAAATCTGGGCCATGCTTCGTGGCTTTCCTGCTTCTCTGATAATGAGCACAGACAAGGACCTACACTGTCCCGTACCCACACATGGGTCACCACAGGGCTCCACGTCCTTCTAGCCGCCATCATCTTTAGCTACTTTCCCCTTCAATGCTGCCTACCAACCCTCCTTGATGCCCAGAACTCTCTCTGCACTCAGACCGTGCCTTCATTTTAGTTTCAGGCAAAAGAGGAAGCACTGTGGCTGGCTCTTCATAGTGCCAGAACTGGAGTGAACCCCAGCAAAGGTGCCTCTCAGCACCACATCCCACCTTTTTCTCAGTTCACTTCCACTTGTCTACTTTTCTACATATTCTAATACCAAAACCCCAGAAGACTGGAGTTTAAAGGCTCTTATGAAGAACAGAAAATTTACTTCAGACTTCTGTGTCTCCACAGGAGCAATTGTGATCATATGTAAGATGGCCATATAACTTATTCTCCAAACCTTGGCACATCTGAGTTGGGGCACTACTAGAAATCACACTGAGAAAACAGGAGTAAACCCAGACTGTCCTTGACAAACCAACTATGGTCACCATAGTTATGCTTTCCTTTTCTTCCTCTATAGGATCTTAAAGGAATTTTTATTACCAGTTCAATCATTAGGAAACTGTTTATTAAAGTGTACTTGTTCAGGGAAGAATATATTGAAAAAAACAAACCAACAACAAAAAAAAAACTATTGTGAAACTCAGTATACCAAATAGGTGGGATATAACCATCCAATCAACATTAATTAATCCATGGAGTCTTTAGATAAAATCTAAGAACTTCAAATGTTCTCAGAAATTTTGCTAAAATAACACCCAATTTCAGAAATTCGAGGCAAAATAGGTCTGGTCAAAGAAAGAGATCTGAATCCCAAATACGCTGTTATTTAATTGTGTCATCTGTTATTTAATTTAGGCAAATTACATAAACTCTGGGTCCTCTCCACCTCCACCTTCTCACCCTGTCTTCTCTTATAAAATAGGAATGAATTACATGCTAAGATAATCAACCTCCTTTCTCCCACCATCTTTTATTCCCCTACCTAGAGTTTTTAAAAATCACCAGGGGCCGGGCGCGGTGGCTCACGCCTGTAATCCCAGCACTTTGGGAGGCCGAGGCGGGTGGATCACGAGGTCAAGAGATCGAGACCATCCTGGTCAACAGGGTGAAACCTCGTCTCTACTAAAAATACAAAAAAATCAGCTGGGCATGGTGGCGCATGCCTGTAATCCCAGCTACTCAGGAGGCTGAGGCAGGAGAATTGCCTGAACCCAGGAGGCGGAGGTTGCGGTGAGCCAAGATCGCGCCATTGCACTCCAGCCTGGGTAACAAGAGCGAAACTCCGTCTCAAAAAGAAAAAAAAAAAAAAAAAATCACCAGGGGTAGCTGGGCACAGTATCTCACACCTGTAATCCCAACACTTTGGGAGGCCAAGGCAGGTGGATCACTTGAGGTCAGGAGTTCGAGACCAGCCTCGCCAACATGGCAAAACCCTCTCTACTAAAAATAGAAAAATTAGCTGGGCGTGGTGGCGGGCGCCTGTAATCCCAGCTACTCAGGAGGCTGAGGCAGGAGAATTGCTTGAACCTGGGAAGCGGAGGATGCAGTGAGCCAAGATCGCACCATTGCACTCCAGCCTGGGCAACAAGAGCAAAACTCCTTCTCAAAATAATAATAATAATAATCTGAGGCAGGAGAATCACTTGAACCTAGGAGGCAGAAGTTGCAGTGAGCTAAGATCGCGCCACTGCCCTCCAGCCCGGCCTATACGGCAAAACTCTGTGTCAAACACACACACACACCACACACACACCCACACCCACACCCACACACACACACACACACACACACACACACACACACACAAATTTGTCAACTAGTTTGGTTCACGGGCTACCAGCGGGCAGTCTCTCTGAGGTGTTACTTAAGTGCTAGGCCAATAAAATACTTTTGGTATCTAATAGGCTGAAACGGAAACATGAGAACCACCTAAAACATTTCTTCAAGAAATATGCATTCTTAGTTTCCAAAAAATCACCTTCCAAGTGCTGTTGGTAGACAATCACTAAATAAACTGGGTACCGACAGTAGCACTTGTTCTCCTGGTCCCCATTCAAAACCTCAGCTACAGTTTGCTGTACTGTCTCCAATTCCATATTCCAGAACCAAGTCTCAAAAGTTTTTTGGTGCCAGGCGCGGTGGCTCATGCCCATAATCCCAGCACTTTGGGATGCCGAGGCGGACGGATCACGAGATCAAGAGATTGGGACCCTCTTGACCAATATGGTGAAACCCCGTCTCTACCAAAAAATACAAAAATTAGCTAGGTGTGGTGGCGTGCGCCTGTAGTCCCAGCTACTTGGG